TCTGATGGAAAGCGTAATGTGAATAATCTATTCTTTACTCAGAAAGCATGAGGCACATATTTATAGTAGTACTTCGGGTTACATACGCTTCAGGTTACAGACTCCGCTAACCCAGAAATAGTGCTTCAGGTTAAGAACTTTGCTTCAGGATGAGAACAGAAATTGTGCTCCAGCGGCGCGGCAGCAGCAGGAGGCCCCATTAGCTAAAGTAGTGCTACAGGTTAAGAACAGTTTCAGGTTAAGAACGGACCTCCGGAACTAATTAAGTACTTAACCTGAGGTACCACTGTATAACCTAAACAACCAAGAGAAGACCTTGGCTTGAATGGAAATCTTGCTAATTTCAAGAGAAGACTTCACTGTTCCAACCCATGATCTCAGCATTTATTATCAGTCTTTGAGCAAAATATGATTCCAGCGGCTCTCCCTTGTCTTAATCCTCAAATCAAGATGATGAGCTTCTAACACAGTTGTCAATCAATAGCCCATTAATTTGGCTTCAGTCTGCTAAACTATATTTCATTTAATTCTCATTTCATTTATTGGGTTGGTCAATGTTATGCAAGGTCAAGTCTTTTGTTAAAAGCAAGGAGGAGTGAAGATGGTGGAGAGGGCGGGGGGGGGGGCAAAGAGAAACAGTGCCAGATTATTATTGTCTTTTATAATAAGAACCATAGAGATAATTACACCTCCATTAGTGAATTATTTAAAAAAATGACTCGCTGGAACTGAGTTGCATCTTCTGTGGTTACATATGTTCAAAGCAGAAAATGGAAAAGCTTCAGGCAGGGTTCCCTAGGGAATATATACAGTTGGATTTAGATGACATTTTCATGTATTGCATATTTGAAAAGCTTGTGCTCAAGAGTTCAGTAATCAATGTAGAGAAGGTAATATCACATACTGCAGTGTAATAGTTGTGTTAGATATTTTTTCTCTCTCTCTCTTTTTAGAATATATCTTTATTGATTTAAAATACTATCATACAAATACATTACAAATAGTTACAACAGAATTTCACACGAAAATGAAAAAGGAATAACAAAAATAAAAATAAAAAACAAAGAAGAATTAACATTAAAATAAAAGAATATCGGTTGTATTATCATATCTTGACCAATAAAGTCTTCTAGAACAAAAACTTCCAACCATTCTCGTTGTACTTTTTCTAATATCATGATTTTATCGCACAGTTTATTTTATAGCTTTTTCTGCATATTTTTCTAAGATATTTTTCCAATAATTTATTATACGCAAGTATCATTCAATTCTGCCAGGACAGTTTCCTTTTTACAATGTGATCTTATATACTCCTTGAACAATATCCATTCTCTATATACTTTTTGATGTACGGCTTGTATCCTCTTCCAACCCTGTGATTCTGTACTTGTGAGTCTGGAATCTGGAGAGGAGGACTACTAAAATGGCAAAACCAGACCCACCCGCCCCCCCATTTGGTAAATAAATCTGACCAGTTCTGTTAAGAATCTTGTGTATTATGTTTGTGAGAGGCAATGTACCACCATAGAAACTCAATAGCTGGAGACACTTCTGGAAGTGAGAACCAGTATGGCAAAAGACAACATGGCTTTCCCCCCCTCCTTCTCTGACTACAAATCAGGAGTGGGGAAACCTTTTGGCACCACAGGCCTGATCCTTATCAGGATGTGCCTCATGAGTCAAATTTGAGAGGTGACCACTTGTCAGTCACATGACATCACGATGACCCATTAGGGCTTACTTCCAAGTAAATGAGTGTGTGATTAGGTTGTAAAGCTGTTAAGTGACCTTAAGTATGGAGGGCTGATTCCATATTCACAAACATAAACCTTGCTAGCAAAAAAAGCTCATAAAAACTCTGCAGTGTAAAAGTAAATTGTGTTTGGGTATATCTGTATCTATATTATCTGTATCTGGATGTATATTATCTAGCTGCAACTTTCTGGATGCTTTCCTTTCTGCGCCATCTGCAATCACTGTGAGGTAACTACTATGAAGTTTAGCAGGTAGCATTTGTTTTTCAGATGTCTGGGTTTGTGTGTGTGTCTCTCTGTGTGTGTATATATATATATATATATATATAGAGAGAGAGAGAGAGAGAGAGTGTCATCCTAGCTGCTGCATGGCAGTTGTCTCTCACTCATGTAGTTGACATCAAAAATGGCACCTAATTAAAAGGGATTTTTAAAAAATAAAAACAGTTTTTTGAACTTGTGCTTTCCTTTAGAGATGAGAGAGAAATGTAGCTGTCCTTGATGTTTCCTTAGCTGCTTACACTTTAAGAATGCCAGGAACAGGTTGGTCTCTCTCTGTTAACTTTGGTAAAAACAAAAAATGGGAAAAAATGACATTTGAGACAGAACGCATTCTTTAATTACCTTACTGAATTTGGTAACCACGGTGATGGACACTATACCCCTCATCTCATTCACCTTACAAAATTTACCCTTCATAGACTTAACAAACTAAAAAACCAGGATTTAACCCCCTCTCCTCAAACCAGAACAGAACATGGAGCATGATTTAAAACCCTCTGTTGAGTCTGAACTGGAATAAAACACAATAGCTAGCTTCTGGTTCAGAATAAAGATTTGACCTTACTCCACTGAACATAGGAGCCAACTCTTAGGGGCTGAGGTCCCTTCACCCCCCCCCAATAAAATATTTGAAGCCCCCCCCATTGATGGTTATTGCCATTAAAATGGTGTGGGAGCGCTGCATCATGTGATCGATTATGCCAGGTGGGGCTTATCTGCCCCAATATTTCATTCAGGATGGCACCCCTGCCACTGAATGTAATAGTATAGTTACTAGGAAATTCACAACATGCACATGAGGATAGGATTTGTGCACCTCTTAGGAAGGTGGGGAAGACTGGCTCTCCAAAGGTTGTGGTTGGATTCCAACTCCCAACAGCCCCAGCCAGCATAAGCAGTGGTCAGGGATGATGGGAGTTGTAGTTCAGCAATGTCTAGAGCAGCGGTTCTCAACCTGTGGGTCCCCAGATGTTGTTAGACTACAACTCCCATCATCCCTGAGCTCTGGCCTTGCTAGCTAGGGGTGATGGGAGTTGTAGTTCAACAACATCTGGGGACCCACAGGTTGAGAAAGGCTGGTCTAGAGGCTTCCCACACCTGCTCTAAGGGATGCTCATCTTGGAACATCTGAGGTCTGAGTGGGGTCAGCTTAGAGGCACATTTTTATGCCGCCACCTCGCGAATTTCCTCCAGTGCCTCTTGAATCTACCACCGGAAACAGAAAGCTTTGAAAGACAACAGTAGCAGCCCACTGAGGATACCCGCACCTATAAGGGGCTGACCTGATTTTGCAGCCATTTCTGGGCTAGGGTTATATCCTCCAAGTCTTCCTTTGGTCCAGAATTTCAGCAGCATTTCAGTAGGAGAGACTTAGGGTTGGTAAAACATTTTACCGCCAGAGATGGAACAGCAAATGGTGCCCTTCTCCCCAAGCCAGGGTAAATAGTACCCAGCAAATAGTGCCTCTCCCCTTCCTGGTAGTAAAAATAAACCAGTGCATTAAACAAATAACAATTTCTTGTCCTTGCCTGAGGCGGCTGTCTCTTTTTGCCTAACAGTAGGGCTGGCCCAGCTTATTAACACCTATGCTCTTTGCCTATTTGTTTGCCTACTCTTGCCTATTTTACTGTGCATTTAATATGTTGTTAGATGCCCTGAGAACTTAGGCGAGCAGACAGGGTATAAATACTCCAAATAAATAAGGTGAGTAGAAGAAGGAATTGTGGCAGATGCAGCTTTACTGTGGAACACTTTAATATATATTGTAACTGCTGGAATTCCTTCTTCTTCTTATGCCCTCACCAGAGGAGCAATAACACTACAGTGGTACCTCGGGTTAAGAACTTAATTCATTCCAGAGGTCTGTTCTTAACCTGAAACTCTTCTTAACCTGAGGTACCACTTTAGCTAATGGGGCCTCCCACTGCTGCTGCGCCGCCACCGCGTGATTTCTGTTCTCATCCTGAAACAAAGTTCTTAACCTGAGGTACTATTTCTGGGTTAGTGGAGTCTGTAACCTGAAGTGTCTGTAACCTGAAGCGTCTGTAACCTGAGGTACCACTGTATCTGTAGGAGGGTTACCATTCCATCCTGTATTTGTCGCATGTAGTTTTGTTTCTATTCTCTTGCAGCTTGTCTTCCACCAGAAACCACATCAATTGTCTTCCTAGCCACCATGGCAAAATTTCACAACTTAAGTTGTGAACATACAATGAAACGTATGTTAACTGATGCAACCAGTTCTTTCACTCCATTCATTTCAATGCAGAGGAAACACAACAAATAATATATATATTTTGCAGGGTGGGGTTGGGGGAGAATATAATCAATTCTACATTGTTTGCTTCTGTACCTTCTGTAAATCATACTCGAATAACCAGAGTTTGTCTAGGTTCAGACATTAGTTATACAATACAAATCTTTATGACGGTCATAGACCAGCATAAAAGGGTGGGGTACAGTCATTTAAAATCTGAAAAGCAGTTTGGAAAGCTAAAAGGGATTAAAACAGAAGGTGAATATAAAAGTATATAAGAATTTAAAAGGAGCTAAAAGAATCTGAAATAAGGGATAGGAGCATTGGGCGGGTGTGGAAGAGCATAAGTGGTTGATATATAAAAGACTTTATCAATCTACAGAGCACTCTGATATGTTCATTAAATCTGGTCTGTGGCACAGGTCATCCTCTGACGAATTTTGAGTGCTGCTGTGCAGAATCTAGCAACATTGTATGTTGTAGCAGGATTGGTATCTGAGAGTAGCAAGGAGTTATAGAATTGCCCTGTGCACCCTAGGTATTTATGAAGTAGTGGGGAAATCAGACATATTGTTTGCAGATTGAAAGCAACAGCAGCAGCAAAGGCTGATTGCATTCACTGGGTTTATTTCTTCTCTAGACATGGAATTTATAAGCAAACAACAGGAATTTCCATCCCATGTCCATTTTCATCAGAATTATCCAACGTCCCTAGTCTTTATTTTCCACTTTAAAACCCCCAGAATCCTCTGTAGGGGATGAAAGTTAAAATATAGTGGTGAGGGAAGATTTTGTAGTTTCTTTTTCCATTTCTTCTTTCTTCAGTTTCTTTCTTTTGATTAGTTCTTTTAATTGTATTGTGAAAACGTCAATAAAAATATTTCCTTTAAAAAAACAAAACAACCCCCCCAAATCAGCATATTTCTTTGCCTGGAACATCAGTATGATATGAAGGAACCTGGCCCACCCAGTATTTCCTGGTGTGGAGAGAAACATTGGCAAAAAGATTCACCTGCTAAGTTTTTGTTTGTCGAGCTATTGTTAAAGGCAGAGGAGTAACGACAAAAATGCCTGATTTCCTTTGGACCCGGTTACACACCGCTTCCAACAAGAATGAATGTCAAACATATAGCAACGACGTCCGGGAGGAGATTTATTCATTTTGGGGTTGTCCAGGCTTTTGTCGTCTGCTTTCTTCAAGGGCTGGGAAACAGCAGGGTGGATGGAGGCCTGCTGCTTGAATTCTGCAACCCACTGTAGCAGATCGTGGAGATAAATAGCCTAGAGAAGGAAGGGGGACAGATAGCATTTCCAAGGTAGGCAACTTGAGAGATGAGAGAATGTGGCAGCGGCGGGGCAGGTGGCGTGAGAGTGAGCAGAAAAGCGGGTAGTCTTCACTCTGATGACTGGTGGCATCACCCAGCAGGAGCCATGCAAGAGTGCCATTTCAAATTATGGTGGAGTTAGGAGATACACATCCGTGGTCCAGGACCAGCTCCAGGAGATTTTAAAAGCTGAACGTCAAGAAAAGGAAAGTCTATTTTAAGATCATTTGTAGTGGTTCTTTCATAAGTTCAGGTGGTTTGTTAGAAAGACATGGGGGAAAGGTAGGGATTTGCATATTTGACTATTTTGTTTTCTTCCGGTTTCCCCATTCTTCAGCTCTCCACATTTCCACATCAGTTTTTCAAAGTCCTCCTGAAAATTCAGCAGCATTTTACCAAGAATTTATCCTTATACATGTGACTATATGCAATTTTTTCAAAGCAATTTCCCAAATATGCATTTTTGTCTTCTTAAAAAAAAACCCCAACCTAATATATGCATTTATTTGCACACTATCCCAGTATATGCATTTTTGTACACATAGCGTGGCTAGAGAACTGTATCACAAAATTCAGGAAAGTGTGAATTTTGAAGAATGGGTATAATTCAGTTTGCATATTGTTTCAGGAAGAGTGAATTGGGTAGGTTCACCTTTAAAAGTGATTTGCACTGAATTTCTCCCCATCTCTAGTGAAGGGCAGCCTTCCACAGGGACCCCCTGGATTTACTTCCTAGAGGAGCCAATACATTAATGGGGGCATAATTATTAATGGTACAGAATCACTGCCAGGAGAAAAGCTGTCAATCTCATGTTGGTGCAGGATTCAGAGATGTCGTGAAGAAATATTTTGAAGCTGCTTCAGCCAACATGATGCTTTCCAAATGTTGGTGAAGTACTGATCTGATCACCTTGTCCATTGGCTGTGATGGCTGTGGCTGCAGGCAGTTGTCCACCAACACTAACATTGACCAAACCTTCTCTAATCTTAGCAAAATTCTTTTTGTTCCCCTTGAAATTCCTTGGATGTTTCATTCAGGGCTGGCTCCAGAGGAGAAGTCTCATCTAACACCATCACCAGCATCCACCCACCTACAGCAAGCTTACCTGTGGCAGCAGTACTACAGTCTGCACTGGGAAGCTGCAAGCCACCTGCTAATACCCAGAATACTTTAATGGAGCAGCTCAAAAAATGCAATTTCCAAGCTGCTTGCTGCTGCTGCTCAGCAAGGGCAGCCCATAGGGTATAGGTGGGAAGTCAGATGAGACATCACCACTGATGTGCCCTGTTTGGGTCCTGAATCCATGAAGGCGGTGAAGGTCCTGTGTGAGTGTCTGGAGGTGGTTGGAGGATGGATGGTGGCTAACAGATTGAGGTTGAATCCTGACAAGACAGAAGTACTGTTTTGGGGAGACAGGAGGCGGGCTGGTGTGGAGGACTCCCTGGTCCTGAATGGGGTAATTGTGCCCCTGAAGGACCAGGTGTGTAGCCTGGGAGTCATTTTGGACTCACAGCTGTCCATGGAGGCGCAGGTTAATTCTGTGTCCAGGGCAGCTGTTTACCAGCTCCATCTGGTATGCAGGCTGAGACCCTACTTGCCCGCTAACTGTCTCGCCAGAGTGGTGCATGCTCTAGTTATCTCTCGCTTGGACTACTGCAATAGACTCTATGTGGGGCTACCTTTGAAGGTGACTCAGAAACTACAACAAATCCAGAATGCGGCAGCTAGAATGGTGACTGGGAGTGGTCACCGAGACAACATAACACTGGTCCAGAAAGACCTACATTGGCTCCCAGTATGTTTCCAAGCACAATTCAAAGTGTTGGTGCTGACCTTTAAAGCCCTAAACGGCCTCGGTCCAGTATTTCTGAAGGAGCATCTCCACCCCCATTGTTCTACCCGGACACTGAGGTCTAGTGCTGAGGGCCTTCTGGCGGTTCCCTCACTGCGAGAAGCAAAGCTACAGGCAACCAGGCAGAGGGCCTTCTCGGTAGTGGTGCCCGCACTGTGGAATGCCCTCCCTTCAGATGTCAAAGAGATAAACAACTACCTGACATTTAGAAGACATCTGAAGGCAGCTCTGTTTAAAGACGTTTTTAAGGTTTGATGCATTACATTACTGTATTTTATTATTTTGTGGGAAGCCGCCCAGAGTGGCTGGGGAGGGGTATAAATAATAAATAATTACTACTACTACTACTAATTATTATTATTATTACAAGTGTGGTTGGTAGGTGGTGATGGAGGCAACAAAAAGTGACAACCCAAGGTTTAGATTCTTTTGTTTTTGCAACACTATGTGTGTATATGAGAGAGAATTTCCTCATCCATCCTATGCTATTAAATTCAGCAAATTCAGATTTAGCTGTGGTTAAAAAAGACTGGAGAAATTAAAACCATGCTTTTTTGTTCTTTTTCTTTTTGGGCTGATGGCGTCTATGTTTCCATTCTCACAACCCAAGCAGGCGCAGGCCAGCAGTTTAATAAAGCATCCTTTGATTAAAGTTTCCCGGCGTTTGTCTGTCGTTAAGGTGAGCAGAAAGAAGACGTACACCTGATAATGGCTTCTCATGTTTTGAAATGATTTAAATGAGTATGAGCTGAAGAGTCCGCAAGGCAGAGGCTGCCAGTGTAAATGTATTTCTAATTACATGCCTTCCCATCCTTGGCAGAGAAGCTGACCTCCCTGTCAGAGCCTTTCACCATGGGTGCCAGTCAGGAGCACCCATAACACAGGAAGCTCTGCTGAAAGGTCTCGACGCTGAATATGCCACTGCAGCTTGTCATGCTGTTAACGTTTTCCTTCATACATTGCCTCCATAGAAGAATACAGAAAACTGACAATTGTGTGACACACATTCTCTTGTGCCACTCCCCACCCCACTCTGGGGAGCAAAGAATGATAACGTAACTTGTGTATGCATAGTTTATTATCTTTGTCAGTAGCAAAATTGTTTCGCCCGGACACTGAGGTCCAGCTCCGAGGGCCTTCTGGCGGTTCCCTCAGTGTGAGTCACAAAGTTACAGGGAACCAGACAGAGGGTCTTCTTAGTAGTGGTGCCTGCCCTGTGGAACGCCCTCCCATCAGATGTCAAGGAAATAAACAACTATCTGACTTTTAGAAGACATCTGAAGGTCCTTCATAATGATAGGGTGTGTTGGAAGGGAGGGTAGCAGTGGAATTTGGTAATCTTCTGTAATATGGCACCTTGTGCCAGGTCAAAATTTGGCACCCACAAATGGATCTTCTTAATTATGGATCTTCCCAATTTTGCCAAGGAACCACCTTGCACCACCCTAAATCTGGCACTGGGGAGGGCTTATTTATTGAAATAACCACTGTGCATATGTGTTTATTGTCACACACACACACACACACACACACACACACACACACACTTTCAACCTTCTCCATCCTCACACTATTGCTGTTGGTGAAGTACTCCCGGTCATATGATATGAGGGGCAAAAGACAGGTTTTCTTGATTACAACTGAATGCAATGATGTATTCAATCAGTTTTTAAATGTTTGCGTCTCATAAGTGAATTCAACCTTCCACTTAAATGGGAGAGGGCAAAACAGATGCTCTATCAGACTCAAGGGGAACAGACCCTGCAACACGTCAGTAGTGACGCCAGCCATGGCTTATCAAGTCTGCTTCTAAAAGTATAGCTTCTCATCTGCCTTTCTCCACCCATCTTTCTGTTTCGTTAGTCACTGTCGGCCTGCTTGCCAGCCAAGCCTTTACAAAGTTTTGGCCTACTTGGAGATAAGAAACGAAAAATTCATGAAAGAAATCTGTTTTTCTTTAAAGGTGGGATGGCTTTTACCAGGTGTTGCAACTAATTGCCTGAAATAATGAGAGACTGTCAAGGAAGAATAAGTTATAGCAAAAAAATTCCAATTAGCGGATAATGATCAAGATCACGGTGCCAAAAGGAAGCAAGTTCTAGGTACTTCTAGGAACTTAGGGAAACTTTTCACAGTTTCTTGTTGGCAAGCCTTCCCCAAAAGGTCACCATGTGCTTTCTTTCAAAGGGGTTATAGTTGCTGGGGGGAGGGCAGTGATATCCTCCCCACTGAGAAGGGATATACCCTGAGTATTATGCCAATGGAACTTTTATATCTGCACCATCCTTTGAAGACATTGTGCACGATGCAATAAATAACCTGAAGTCGCTCTCTTTTTCTGGGCCAGTGGAGCAGATCTCTGTGCCATGACCTTGGGGTTTGCATAGGGTTGCCATGTTTGGTCAGGCAAAATATGGGACAGATCAGGGAGGAATTAGGTGGGCTGAAAAGTACTTTACCTGGTGCAGAAATGACTTCAAAACAATCCATTACTTTCTCTCAGTCTCTGACTTCAAGTCTTCATCTCTGACCCACCTGTTTCTGTCTGCACAAAAACTCCCTCTCCCTCTCCACCAGGGCCATGCAAATCCCTTCTCTTGCTCTCCACAACCCACCCTCTCCCCACACAAAAACTTTCTCTCTCTCTCAAGCTCCTCCTCCCGGCTCCACCCCCCCAGCACACATCCTGCGATAACACTCGCTCTCGCTCTCATAATAATAATATAATATAATAACTTATAATTTATACCCAGCCACTCTGGGCGGCTTCCAACAGAATATTAAAATGCAATAACCTATTAAACATTAAAAGCTTCCCTAACAGGGCTACCTTCAGATGTCTTATAAAAGTCTGGTAGCTGTTTATTTCCCTGACATCTGGTGGGAGGGTGTTCCACAGGGCGGGTGCCACCACTGAGAAGGCCCTCTGCCTGGTTCCTTGTAACTTGGCTTCTCGCAGTGAGGGAACCACCAGAAGGCCCTCGGTGCTGGATCTCAGTGTCTGGGCAGAACGATGGGGGTGGAGGTGCTCCTTTAGGTATACTGGACCGAGGCCATTTAGGGCTTTAAAGGTCAGCACCAACACTTTGAATTGTGCTCAGAAACGTACTGGGAGCCAGTGTAGGTCTTTCAAGACTGGTGTTATGTGATATTGGCGGCCGCTCCCAGTCACCAGTCTAGCTGCCGCATTCTGGATTAGTTGTAGTTTACGGGTCACCTTCAAAGGTAGCCCCACGTAGAGCGCATTGCAGTAGTCCAAGCGAGAGATAACTAGAGCATGCACCACTCTGACAAGACAGTCGACGGGCAGGTAGGGTCTCAACCTGCGTACCCCCCTCATCTTCCCCCCTTCATGGACCCACCCTCTGCCCGCACAAACTGCTGCTCAGGCTCTCACTATCCTCCTTCCACCAGACCCACCCTCTACCCACACAGTTTTTAGGATGAGGATGAGCTCAAATACATGAAAAGGGGGTCTGATTTAAAGTCCAGAGGACAGTCCCCCCCCCAAAAAGGCAATCATGTTTTTCTATGAATTCAGTGGCGCTAACTCACAGGCAAGCAAAATATGCAATCGTATGCACACTTGAAAAAAAGTCACTTAAACTCAGTAGGGCTCACTTTAAGTATAACCGTATAGCATGATCCCTAATTTGGCTCCCGCATCTTCCTCTTGTTCCTCTTTACACATTGATAAAGAAGCAAATTTCATAGGGATGTGGATACTTTGGGCACAATTCATTTTTTCAATAAAATTTATTGGATGCACATTCAGTACTCAAAATTAATGTTAACAGACTACTACCTCTTGAAAAGAGAGGACCAACATTGTGAGTAGAAAGATGCACTCCTTTGCTCAATAGAAGCATTGATAATATAGGGCTGAGAGAAGAGCTGGTACTTAGCTGTCTTGCTGCTTTATATATTGATGATCTTGGTGCATAAAGCAGATTAAATGAATAAAGACCAGCGGAATGACATTCGATTGTTATGCTTAGCATGTAACCTCCTGAAAGAGAAATTGCATGTACAAGCAAAAAGGGGATTCTGCCTTTTGGTAGCAAAAAGAAAAAAAGGAAGAAGAAAAAGCTGCAAATGTGAATAGAATTTCACTGCTGCTTTAGACTTTAATAACTTGAGAATTAGATGGAATCACTGCAGGTGATGTTCAGAACAAATGACATTTATTCCATATTATTAAGATTTCTGTGAAATTTATCTGGGAGATATCTGCCATTTTATCTTGGGCAGTCTTGCCACGTCGAAACACCCTCATTTTGTAATGGCTCTGAGCTACAATTATAATTTGCACACCTCGATAAAAAGTCTCCTCACCTTAACAGCTCGTGAGAGAAGAAAGGAAGGGTTGTGTTTTTTCCTTCCGATTTACTTTGTCTGTTGTACAGGAGGGAGACCGTGAAAGAGGAATGCTATGATGAACTCGTACTTAGTATTTGTGCTATATAAAGTAATCCACACACACACACACACACACACACACACACACACTATATATATATATATATATATATATATATCAGAAGGACCAAGAACTATGCTAGGTTCCACTGAATCCAGTGAGAGTAGGATTGTGCCAAAGATGAAGAGAGGCTTTTGGAATTTATATTTATTCAATTTATATGGTTTGTTTCCTGCCTAAGAAGGGCCACCCATTATCTTTTTAAAAATATAACATACACTCTTCATTCAAAAGCAAGCAATTAAAAAATAACAATGCAAATGTCAGAATTAATATAATGTACATATAACAAAATGGCAAACATTTGCAATGACTGTTGACTTTTATGAACTCCCTTTTCAGCAGAAAGGCTTGGGGAGGAATGTA